AATTTATTAATATACTAGATGACCCGACAGACGTTGTCCTGTACCCATGTCTACAATTTTTTAATATAATATACTGATATTTACCGTTCACCTAAAAATAATAACTATTGTTTTTTAAATCACTCTTCACGCAAAAATGCATATGCATTTATAATATGAGCGATGTTAAATGTAGAACTGCTTTGAATAAAATGATGAGTTTCAATTTCCACACTATTGAAGTTTTTTAAACGGTATAATATGACTATAACTATAACATTACACTGGTACTAAATTAATTTAATTTATTATTTAGGATATCCAAAATTTCACCTTAAACTTCTTCTAATCGATATCGTGAGGGCCGTATTCATTGTATGTACTCATCTTTACTTTCCCATTTGTTGTTATCAAGTAAATTTTTTTACGAATTTTAAAAATATTGTGTGAAGATTAGTAAAAAATGAAAAAAATTAAATATTGAAAAAAAAAACTATATTGAAAATTTAATATCCGAATTTTGTGTTGGCACCTCTAAGGGTTTATTTATTTTAACAATATTGCACATACATCCCAGTACTTTATAATCACATCCTAGAAAATTTCCTTAACAAACTTCAGACAGATTTATCAAAATTCGAATAATCGTTTAGAAGGAGTATACAGTGGGTGCTTGTAATTTAATATGAACTCTATATAATGGCAATAAAGCTCAAATTGATTTTACGTTTTAGTTAGAAAACGTTTGTATGAGAATTTTTCGAATTTTTCTCGCCGTAGGAACCATCCTTGGACTTGCAAGTCCTTTACCAAAAACCTATTAGAATGCAGCAGCAGAGTGTTTTGATAACATTAAAATTAAAACAAATATTGTTTTGAGCAAACTATGTTTCCAAAAACCTTAATACCTTCAGAACATGTTATTTACTTTATCCAAGAATTGATTATCAATTAGAACTCTACAATATAATTATCTGATTTTTACAAAGAACTTAGTTTCCCTAATTGATCAAACGTCAAACACCATCAGTTACAAACAAGAAAGAGTAAACTCCATTCATACACTTTCCGTTAGTTTCTAAGGAAGTATACTTGTACTTTTCTTGTTTTTCTACCCCATGTGATCGAACGGAATTCGCTTTTTAAGCTAATGCTTTCTGCACTCGGTTTACGTCTTCTATCCGGATCTTGGAAATTTGGCCATTGAAAACTTCTATCGTAAATCTCACCTTTTGTGCAGCCCGAATGGAACGCTATTCGTCAAGACACCTAGGGTTAAAGTTTTGTATACAACTTTCCCCAATAAAACGCTAATAGAATTATAATAGAATTTGTATTTGGGTCTTGGGTGCAGATGATAGGTCTTTTTGTCCACATTTATTGGAAGGATAGATTTAATGTGTTTGTCGAAATACATGATGGCTTATATTATTATTATTTTATATGAATTATTTTGAATAATATTTACTGTGATGGCTTACACAGTATATCTTATATATAAAAAAGAATCGCAAAATGTGTTGGTAAGCGCATAACTCAATAACGTCTGGACCAATTTGGCCAATTCTTTTTTTAAAATGTATGTTGAAGTTCAAGGATGTTTCTCACGGCGAGAAAAAATCGAATTTTCATATTTTTGCCATCGGATACGGAATATTTACTCAAGTCAATGGAGCGTTTTGGGTCTGAATTTTTTTACTGTGCTCCAATTTGTATGAAATTTTGAAATTAGGTTTATTTTACTCTCAAGTTCAAAAGTGAAAATAGTTTATACTCCTTTGCCATTTCTCGGGGGGATGACATCCTTCTCAGTGGTGTAATTTCATTTTTCTTCAAAATAACGTCGGATATCAATAAAAGAACTAATTATAAGAAAAAAATGTGTTTCAAAAAAGCAAATACTCATGATTTTATTTAAAGCAGTTGTACATTTAAGATCCATATGGGTGGATGTATACACATTTCGATATAGACTATATAGTATAGAATTGTAAACATAAGTACTGTCGGGTCATCTAGTTGTAAGTAGAAAGTAATATTACAACTTTTTGTTACATTCTATTTGTCATAAACTGCTTGGTGCAGACATATAATTGGTGTCAAAAAGTAGAGGCTAAACAAATTAGTGCTAATATTTTTTTTAATTCGACAACCTGACTGGTTTTATCAACTATGTTTCAACATTGGCTATATATACATGATTTTTAATTAACATAAAACCTTTAAAGCATCAATGTATAATATCTACTTGAGCTTAATTGAAATATCTTGCAGTTGTGGATTACATTGTACCTACTCCAGTACTCTAGTTGCACTCGACTTTCCTCGAAGCGTCGAACACAATGTGTGCGTCCCACACAATGTATTAATCTTGTCATGATTAATGGCTTTGTAAATTTATTATTAATGGTACAACATATTATTAGGCCTTAGAAATGAAATTGAAGTGTATTTGGACAAATAGTCATTAACTAATAACTGTTTAAGAAATTGGAGCGGAGTGATTTATTTGTTTTGATATAAAAAATAGTTCTTATATTGATCTTAGTGCAACTACACTTACTTCATCATATTTTTCCAACATTTTTCTACTTCTTATTGTTATTCTATTAATTTTAACATTGCACATTAAGTTTAGGCCAGATTGGAAAATGATGCTTTTTACTACTAGTTTATTTTTTAAGCTGTATGGGGAAGTCCTCTAGTGGCGGACACCTAAGGTTATTTATAAATAAATCAAAAAATATTTTATGTATTTTGAATGTACTTGCATTTTGAAATGAAAAGATTTATACTCGCTTAAATAATACGTGTTAAATAGTGTCCGGTGCTTGGTGCCGTCCGGCGTTACGGGACTCCTCCTATTATTTTATTTAAACCAAACTTCAACCACGTTCCAATCAAAGAAAAACCAATATCTGCAATCCCATATATATTAAACTTCTAGCCATAAAATCTGATATATAAGCTGTCCTCAATATCTTCAGTGTTCTAGTTAAATTCCATCCCATGTCTATGGTATATACAAGTATACCACATGACTTTTACTTTTTGTTTGAAACTAATATTATCATTTTACAAGCCATAAATATTTCATGAAATCTTCTGTCACGCTGCCGTGTTGGTTGTTTGTAGAGGATTTAAACTGAAACTTTTTACCATTACTCATCTAGAATACTGTATATTGTTTCAGCTTTGTTTTTCAGACGTTTAGAATGTAAAAAATATTATAATATTATGAGATGACAAACATATTAAAAGGGATAATATGTAGATGTAAAATGTGCAGATATGCTTTGAGTGCACTATAAAAATATTTATTCGAATATTAGTTTTCTAATAATATTAAAATTCATAAAAAAAACGTTAGTGTGAATATTGGATTTTTTTATAATTGATTTTGTAGCTATTTATATACTAATATAAATTAATTGTTTCTGTCCGGCATTTTGGAAAAATGTGGGCTAAAGACTAGAAATAATATTTAGCTCAAATAAAAGTAATATTTAGCCATGATTTGATTCTACTGGGGTAATATATGGGATTGGGTCGATTTTTTGCGCGCATTGAGAAGTCGTTTTATGCAAAATTTTACTTACACCTAGTTAATCAAAAAATCGTTGTCTATACAAAAATTAAGCAATGCTGTAATATTTTCTTATTACCTCCGTTTTATCACGGTACCATTTGTTTTGTTACTAGGCGTGTAACATATACGAGACACTTTAAGTTTGAGATATTTCACGAAAAAATGTTCCAGAAACTCGCATAAATAATTCCTACCTTGAGGCAAATGCGGATATGAGTGTCAAAAATCATCCAACAGTGGCTGAGAAGAGTCACGAATATTTTCGGAGCATACCGTCGAGTTATCTTTTTAAAACTCCACTTAAACTTGTGATATTTATTATGAATGGGAGTTTATTCTACTTTTGACGGTTTTATTTTATTCCAATAGGCGGGTTGGTAACTAATGGTTATTATTTTTGCTATTATGTGGTAACCAGACCACATAAAAACACATTAAAATAGTTTCTTGAGAACTCGGACACAGGAACAGACTTTTATTGTAAAACATTTGCTGCTAATTCGTTCTGTTTGGAAAAATGTTAGGGATGTGCAACTCTTAATTTAGAATAAATTTTTCCATAAGCCTAAATCAAAACTCAGTGAAAAACAATCATTGCTCATTGTGAAGTATTTGTTCGATTTGAAAAAATGTTAAGGATGTGCAACTTTTAATCTACAATAAGTTTTTCCACATTTGTTGCTAAAAGTGCGCTTCAATGAAAAGTTATTCAATTACTAAAATGATTATTACGAAATAGGGATTTATGGTAAGAAGGTTTAGGAGTATATGTGCTTTTTAATTATGAACTAGGAAAAATTATAATATTGTAAAATGGCTCAAAAAATGTGTATATTTTACTATTTCTTACTACCTTATCAGTACTCCAAATGTTTTTCTTACTTTTCTATTTTTCATCTAAAATAGTCGTGTCAAAATCACAAGATTGTTCTATGCATTGGACTAGGAAGTTGATAATTTAGGGCTGTATGTGTTTTTTTTTTAATTAGGAATTATAACAAAATAAAATAAAATGAATTGATCCAAAAAATTGAAAAAAAATCATAAGGATGGCCTGACTTGACGAGTCGTTACCACTTAGGTGGATGAAAAATAGATGTTGGGCGACTCTCAGACATACTGAACGCGATTATGAAGTTTCTTCAAAATTGGTCTAACAGTTCCGTGTAGAATTTTATTTGTTTCAGTTAGTGTTCACATTTATCTTTTGCATGTTATGTATTTGACATATATAAAAATTATACTTTAGTTACATTTTTCTTCTCCTTACATATTTCACTATCCCTTCCTACCTTATCAGAACTTCCAATGTTTCCTTCACTTTCCTATTTTCCACACACCTCCATCTAAAACAGTCGTGTCAAAATCCTAAGATAGTTCCATGCATAAAAATCACGAACGCCTCGCATTTTCATTTCTGTTATCCTTTCAGATCGCGAGTGTCCTGAACTCGAGCAGCCTGCCTTGGGCGAAGTGTCTCTCTCGGGGCGTCTGTTTGGGGCGCGCGCCACTTACTCGTGCCCCCACGGCTATCACGTCGTCGGTTTGCAGAGCCGGGCTTGCCAGGCGGACGGGCAATGGGCCGGCAAACCGCCGGCTTGCAAGCAAAACAGTGAGTTGTCGTATCTAGGCGGCCCGGGGAATACGAACGATATGGTTTTATTACACTATTCATATCGTCGATCTGAATTGTTGGACTACGTGATTTATATCACAAATTGAAAAAATGATTGCGAGATAGGTCATCGGGTTTTGGGACAGATTTTGGCAAATGGGACAGATTTGTTGTCAATCAATTTGTTTTATTTCGTTTGCTAGTAATTACAAACTTTTATCTAATGAATTTGATTGCTCAATGCGTAGACCAATTGTTCAGGTTTATAGATAAATCATATAAAGTAATCAAGGTATTTTGCCCAATCAGTTATTTTTAAATGATACAAAGGCCAACAAAGAAAATGGTGCAAACGATTTTAATGCTGTTTTAATTATATTTGGGGCGCTGATTTCAAAAATAACATTGTTTTTTTTTCTACGAGCTTTAGTTTTCAAGATATGATATAAATGATATATAATGAATGAAAGTACAAAATAGTAATACAATTCAGAATGTTATTTTAATGAGATATGCCTACTCGTGCATACAAACTTACAAGACCCATACGGCCTTAGTTGGGACATTAGTTGACACTGTGAAAAGTTCTTTTCCGTGACGACCTAAAATGGACCTGGTTTCGGCAACTTCTTTGCATCTCAAAAACTAGAGCTGATACAAAATAATGGTTTGCAGATTTGAAATCAGCGCAAAAATACTATAAGAATCAGCTTCAACATTTGATGCACCAAACAAAAAAAAAATTTGTAGGCTTGTGTAATCAATTAGGATAAAATACTGAAAATTTGCTATATGCTTATCTTAATATATAATATTATTATATTATATTTTGATCAACTTAGTATGTTTTTTGCGTTATTATAGATATGGTAGAAAGGGGTACAAAGGTCTAATTTGACTGTGAGCAATTATATTGTGAAATCCAAACCAATTATATCACAACAAATAACACTTATCAAACAAACAACTATCTGACTATGTTCAGTAATATTAATTTATTATTATAGAAACATGTTTTTTGACTCAAATTACACATAAATTTTTTCTACTTCAAAAAAGTAACGTTAAAAAATCCACACTTCACTTGTTTTTTTGATATTAGTAGTACTTTTTAGGCGCGGACCTTTAATTCGGAGTATTCTAGTGTAGAGCGATGAATTTTAGGTCATTTTTAAAGTGTTGTAAAAGAAAGCAATGAATGTTTTTACTATCCATTTTCTTACCACTTGTTTATTAACATTATTAAAATACAAAACAAAAATTTAAAAATAAAAAAGCTGATAAGTGGTCTCAAAAAATTTGCACCTCAGTCTTGACAGCCCTCCTAGTCATCGAAAATGCAAAAAATAAAAAGATTATTAATCTACAATGATGTCGCAATCGCCCGAACTAGCGATGAGTAAAAAAATTTTTTTGGCGACTGTTTGAAAAAAAGTGTTTTTTTACTGTTTTTTGAGTTTCTCGAATTTTTTAAAAATAGTAAAAATTGGAATTTTGGGATAATCCTAGTTCAGGCTATAGATAGGTCTATAAACAAGACTCTCTGAACATTTCAAGTAAATCGGTCGATTAAAACTCGAAAAATCGTGTCAACAGTATTGAAAAAGTCTGTTCTGAGAAAACGCATTTAAAGTTTTGCGTGAAGCCAAACTAGTATGGAGACCGAGTCAGTAAAATGCCTATATCTCCGAAAATAATTCAAATTTTCAAAAACCTTCTTGCACCCATATTCTTAGATAAAGTTTGAAAATATGAAATAAAAAAAACGATTTTTTTGAATTTCTACACTAGAATACCCCATTAAGTCCCGCTCAACACTACTATTTAATTTTACTATATATTTTCTTATGTTCTTATCATAAATAAATCTTTTATCTAAATTTTTACCAATTGTGGCAGTTTGCTTCTTCTTTTTATAACAGCTTGAAATCACCGTACTTGATAAGTATCTTTTTGTTTCTCTTCGCCTTAATTTTGTATTCATGTCTGAGAGCTCTGACTTTGAACATTTATTGAAGACGATCCTGTGTACTTTCACTTCTAAGAAAACCAATTTTCGTTATTTGATTACTTTTATAAAATTAATCGGAATTATTTTAAACGAATTATATGGGTTGTATTTGATTTTCTTGGCAAATTTGATTAGATATTTTGGACGGGTTTGATTTGTAATTTAGATGAGAATGATAAAAGATTTATTTAGAGAGTAACCTTTATTATATTGTATTATAATATTTAAGTACGTATATCAAAGGATTAATGAGTGGTAAGAATATTAAATTGGCAGTACGAATACACTGCACTTTTTCTGCACTATTTGAACTCAATGATGATAAAATAGTGAATATGACTTTCTAAAAAATATAAAAATTATTAATGAATCACACTGATGATGAGACAAAATTAGTCACAAAAAATGTTAATATTAAGATTATTTGATAAATAGTGTAAAGCATGTGCACCGAGCTCATACTTCCAATTTAATATATACAGGGTATCCCAGAAAACAACGTCAAGCCAAAATGGGATGATAGTATTGATCATAACTTCAATGAAAAAAAATAGAAAAAATGGTCTCACGTCGTTTGATTATTATGAGCTTTTAAGAACTTTGATGAAAATGTAACAAATTTTCGATTATTATTAGTGTGTTGTGTTAGTTTTAGGTTTTTTTGTTTGTACTCGGATATTGTTAATTGAAAGTATCAAGTATTTTACTATTTTACAATCATAATTAAACTTACCATCATACTTTTTAAAGCCTTTTGCCATTTTAGAGCATTTTTTTAAAAAAAGGATTTTTCAAAGTTGACCAATTTTGAAAATTTTAAATTCATAGTTCAACAAAAAGTCTTAGCTCTTGAAACTCTTGGTGCAATTGTGTCGATGTTTTTGACTGTGGTCCTGGAAATGTTATGTACGATTGCGAATCAAAAGATTAAATGAACAGAATGGATACAATTTAATTACAATAACCGAAAATTGTTCACATTTTTACCAAAGCTATAGGTTGCACTTAGAAACTCATAATTTCCAAACATCCTGAGATATTTTTTTTAGGACATTTAAGGTCCATAATACTATCACTCTGTTTCGGCTTGATGTGAAGGTCTGGGACACCCTCTATATATATGAATGTGTGTATGTATAGTGTAGTGCTCTCTAGTATAAGGTTGTGATTAGGGTTCATTCAATAATATAATAAAGTCCCTGGGCCGCCGAAAACCTAATTAGTCGTCAACCGTGTGTGTCGCCTCTTATGCCCTTCGCTCGTTCCAATTTATTTATCTATTTGCCGATAATATTTATGTCCTTTCACATGTCGTGAAATTCTCCGGAAAATCTCTGGCATATCTTTAGATTTGCTCTCCTTTTCGTCGCATGCGTTGAAATATTTATAGTGAATTGAATCAATAACGGCAACTATTTGTTGAAGTGATCTCGAATAGTGCAAGCGCTTCACTTCTGAGCTGGCTTCGCTATTCGACGATGTATCGCCATTCGTACCATGCATATTACATAGGCCATTTTTCAAAGTATTCCTGTTTTATCAATATCTCTATCTGTATCTGCAATATCTACTTATTTATGGCGCATATCGTGATCGCAACTCTAAATCACGTTCATAATTAATCACATTTGTTCGCTTCGTAAAATTCCGGTCGGGATACATAGAATTATAATACCAACAATAAATTTAAATATTTTTATATAATATATATATATATATATATATATATATATATTAGGTTGGTCCTTAATGTGGACATTTTCGAATTTCCTTGCCCCCAAGGGCTCAAATGGTTCCAAATTGATAAAAAAGAATTCTCAGAAAGTTTTAGCTCTTAATATTAACTTTCAGAAAGTGCGCAATTCAATCAAACTTTGTATGGAAATAGCATAACTTAGCGACAAATGAATTAAAAGTGAAAATTTGTGTTGTTTTTTTATTTGCTCTTTGTTGTTTTTTTTTTAATTTGAAACCATTCGAGCCCTTGGAGCAAGGAAATTCGAAAATGTCTACATTAAGGACCACCCCAATATATATTTTGAGTCTCTAGTAACACTTGCGGCCCGTTTACTAATGTTTTTGTATATAAATAAAACTACAAACAAAACTTCTTACTACAATTTAATCATAATTAAATAATATTCATGTAAAACATCATATTAAACGTAATTGAACATCATCTGTCAAAAATGTTTAACATTTCACGTAATAGCCACCGTCCATTGTTTTATTTAAATTACGCTTCTACAAAAATTTTCAAATTAAAAATATAAAGTTTCTACGCGATTTTGAAATAATATCTCACCTTTCCGACCATCTCTGGATTGGCACGAATTTTTCAAGACTAAGACTGGCCAAATCGGTTTAGCCGTTTTCGAGTTTACCGAATCATTTGATCGAGAGCTCCATTTTTATATATAAGAAGATATATATATATATATATATATATATATATATATATATATAATATATATAATATATGATATAATATATAAGGTATGCCAAAATATTCAGAAACCTTTGAAACGTGAAGATATATAAAAATTTTCATTTTCGATTTTTTTTGCGATTACTATAACTCGCCCTACAAGAAGTTAATAATCTGTGCAATATTATAATTTTATTACCTTTTCTTCCACTAAAAAAATAAGAAAAAAACTCGTTTTTTAGGTTGTTACGGTGGTGTTACCCCTTAAACAAAAGACATTTTTTTTAAACAGGTGCTATCGTTTATAATAAAATTCCAATAAAATTGGGTCACTGAAACTATATATAATTTAGCTAAACTGCATCAATTCGTTTCCCAATTCTCTACTTTGATGCAAATTCCTCGGTACCTATAGTGGAATTTCCATTTCCAGATAATGATCAAAATGTTCAAAATTGAATTCCGATTGGTTACCTTGCATGCACATGGTAAATGACATGAGAGCATAGGCGGATATGGTGCACTAGAGTTTTTTTCTTCTTCCCAAGTAACTTGATACATATTGAACGCTTTGTTGATCAACTATAATCGATTAATTAAACTTGATCCGCGCGAACGCGCGTACTCTGGCATGCATTCGACGCTTGTATCCACGTGAGTGAATTGCAATATTAAAGCATGCATAACAAGGCTTTATAATTAGTTTCTGCCGTTAAAAGGGAAACGTATGATAAACAGTCCCGATCTCATATTAATATGCGATATGACACGGTATTTCAAAAACTTATACGCCGAGAGCGGGAAAATCAATTAACGTATTAGAACAAAAATAAAAACCGAACAGAATTAAATACTTCCGGAAGTTAATGACAAATTCCCAAAATTAGTATCTGGTTGAGCCTAAATTTTGTAATAAGATTTGCAGGACTATTTATATTACCTAAAGACATGTCTACAAAATGAGACTGGATCATATATATATATATATATATATATATATATATATATATATATATATATATATACAAGATGAAGAATTGGTCAAATTTTCATGAAGGCAGGTTTAGCGGTTTCGGAGATCTAATGAAAAAAGTAAAAAAAATGCCATTTGGCGGTCAAAAATGATCATTAGACATATGCGCATCAAATGATCAGATATTTTATAGAGATTTTAACAATAAGTATAAATTTTGTTTACATTCCTATGGGTTCCGTACCAATGTTTTCCGGTAGACGGCGACGCAGCGCTTACGCACTTTGATGTTTTGTCTCTATGCAGTCAAAGCAGTATGATTGCTTTGAAAATAAGTTCAAAATTTCCAAAATATGTCAAAATAAAGAGAAAATTTTTTCGAAGTAATTTTTTTTCAAAAATGTTAATCGCTTTTAAAAAAATAATAAATTTGAATTTAAATAAATAAAACGATGCCATGCGCACCACTAGTTTAGCATATTTTTAAGTAACAAAATAGAAAATTTGCCACAAATGCAATAAACGATAAAAGAGTACAATAAACGATAAAATACAAACTCACTCAGAATACAAAATAGAGTACAAAAACCATCTTCAAGATCACCTAAACTCTCTTGCCAAAAAACCCCACTTTGTCAATCTCAAAAATTATGCTAATGGTCAGGAGAACGATACAATTTTATTTGATATGCCTTCAGAATACGTGTAAAAAATATTTTTTATCACTAATAAAAAGAGTAATGATGATTATGATAAATAAGTAATATTTTACTAGCTCCAGATCACTTTATTGAGAGATCAGGAAACACAAAATGTACATTTATTCTAAACCTCTCCGCGTACGTTTTTTATATAAATCATAAATCCTTCACCTCCCCCTCCTTAAATCCTTTACCAGAGGCGAAACACACGTCAATCTGCTTCCACTGAATTGCATTACCTGGCCCCGCTGACTTTTCCATATCTGTCTTGTCAGTTTATTGCCTGACGCCTCCTACAATCGAGCACGCTCGTCATTCTGCTCTGCCTGAGCAGGCCACCTTCGACCTGGACTCCACCGTGCAGTACCATTGCCACATGGGCTACGCCACCAACGGATTTCCGCGCGCCAAGTGTTTGGCGATAGACGGAAAAGCGTCCTGGTACGGTCCCGACATCTCTTGCGAACGTGAGTATCGCCCGGAGGAGGAGGGTGTTTCTTAGATTAATGGAAGATAGTAGTTTTCTTAATTAAAGTAGAACGGGGAGTGATTCACATCCCGTTTGGGTGGTAAGATTTATACAGTATGTGCGAATTTCAATATTCAGTATTTAGTAGTTTAGATCGACATGCATTAGTGATAACTTGATAAAAGATTTTATTCTTCTTTAATTACATTTTAACTACCTGCATGATTTTGTTGTTCAAAATAGACAAACAGTCATAAAGTTAGAAATACAAGAGATAATTTAATAGGAAATTTTCTCAGAAAAATCGATTTTTGTAACGTATGTACCATTATGTAGTACGTAACATGTAGAATTTGAAGTACTCTGCGGTGTAGATACTGTAAGTTTGATTTAAAAAAAAGTTAGGGGATTTTATTAATATTGATATTTTTGTGGTTGTCTAGTATTTGTAATAATGAAAAATTTACACTAGAGTTATCCCCTAAATATTTCTATAATGCTAATTAATGACGTCAAATAAGAGACGAGTAGGAGATATCCACAGGCGAAAATCAAAACTTGATACGCACAATAAAATTTGCTTATATAAAACCCTTTTAAAGCCAACTTGGACATACGGTATTTGACTATAAGGACATCAGCTTACAAATCAATTTTTTTGAAATTCAAAGAAAATAAATTGACGATTGAAATTACATATCTGATACTTGTTGTTCAAAATTTGGTATTTCTGAAGTTCTAGTCATGAATTTATTTATACAATCGTAAAAAGCCAGATTTAATAAAACAAAAAATGAAAAAATGTAATATTATATGTACGTTTTCTGCAAAAAAATGTCTAATCGTCTCACTTGACTTAACAATTTGAGTATATGTCAGAGTATGAAATAATTTAATACTAACTCATGTAGTTTCAAGAAATTATTTTTATAACATGTATATTTTTATCACTTATCTGATGCATTTAGCTATTTTTAACATTTACGTCTATATATAGAGCTTTGTAATAGACTAAACGTGCTTCATCATTTTCTTACTTTGCATTATATAAAAGAGCAAAAATAATATAAGTGAATCGGTTAAATTTTGTATAAGTACTTTTGCAATTTTTGCGTACATTTAAAGTATGTTCCTAACTTTTACCTTATTTTTATACCTTGAATCTGAATAATATTATATCATGCTTGAAAAACCTGAAATCGAAGCAAATTTTCGAGGATAGTGAGATAATCAAGAAGCTTATTCAAGAATATAAGAATATCTGTATAAATCTTAAATAAATATTACATATATTTGAAATTTTTCTATAAGTATAGAATCCATATAACATTGTAAAATTTATCGGATTGTATGTGGATCTAAATCACTCCCGCACCAACTTAATCTTACAAAATAAAATAAAGTCCAGACGTTTAGGAGAAGTTACGGTCACAAAAGTTATATATGTATATATATATATATATATATATATATATGAATATATATATATATATATTCAATAGATAAGTCCTGGATTTTTTCAATATATTGATTGTTTTTTTCCGAACAGAAAATCCAATAATAAAAAACAATTTGTTTTTTGAAGATGTTTAATAACGATGTTTCGGAACTAGGTACGTTCCATCATCAGGTTTATTCTGTAATAATTTATATATCCATATCACTAATATGTTTTGTTAAAAACACTCGATTTTTTGGAAGATATTTGTAGATGTTACGACTACACAAGACTTAAACCCACTGAGTCAAGAACACACTTAGTGTGTTTAAGTCTTGTGTAGTCGTAACATCTACAAATATCTTCCAAAAAATCGAGTGTTTATAACAAAAAATATTAGTGATATGGATATATAAATTATTACAGAATAAACCTGATGATGGAACGTACCTAGTTCCGAAACGTCGTTATTAAACATCTTCAAAAAACAAATTGTTTTTTATTATTGGATTTACTGTTCGGAAAAGAAACAAACAATGAAACAATATATTAAAAAAACCCAGGATATACATATTCAAACCCATTGAATATATATATATATATATTATCTTCATTATCACTTAATATTTTCCCATGACCAATAATATTTTTCGATATCCTGAAGCAAGGACTTGCGGACCGCCCGCCGACCCAGCGCACGGCTGGCACGCGGGGGAGTGCTACACGTACGGCTGCCGGGTCATCTACCACTGCGCGGAAGGGTTCGAATTAGTCGGCAAAGAGGAGAGATTCTGCCAGGCCGACGGTTCTTGGGCCCCCAAAGACCTGCCGATGTGCGTCTGTAAGTACAATACCACCGATTTGCCGATGTCCAGCACGGATTGGTAAAGGATTAAAATTTTAATTTAGGGTCCGTTCAAGTATTACGTAAGCACTATAGGGGGCGGGGGATTGTTGATTTGCTTATCTTGGGTTGACATGGGGGGCAGGGGAGTCTGGATGATGATTACGTCATAGGTAGTATTTTTATTTTTTTGCATTAATTGCAAAATGTTTACGTAAGCATGGGGGTAGGGGGTGAGAGTTTTGCTTACTTTTGCTGACAAGGGGGATGGGGGCGGTAAATAATTGTAATAAATCTGCTTACGTAATGCTTGAACGATTCCTTATTGCTTTTGTATAAAAATTATACTCATATCACATAATTTGGGTAATATAAAGATTTTGATGGGTAAGATTTTTTGAATGTATTTGTTCAATTTTATTTGCAACAAATAAGTGTATTCAGTTTTATATTGCGTTATTTGTAAATATAATTTTTTTTACTCCAATTTTTATACTGGTGATTTATTTTATTTCAATTTCTCTTGCAATCTGTTAGATAAAACAATGAGTAGAGATTGTTAACAATATAAAAAAGAGTTAACATTATATTTTCTGATGCAGTAACCCCGCCGGGTTATGTAATTCACTTTATTATTAACTTCTGAAAGTTGTACTAAAACCCAATATACTTTGATAAAAATATATTCTACTAGATGACCCGACAGACGTTGTCCTGTACACATGTCTACAATTTTTTAATATAATATACTAATATTTACCGCTTACCTAAAAATAATATATTTTTTTCGAATTACTCTTCACGCCAAAATGCATATACATTTATAATATGAGCGATGTTAAATGTAGAGCTGCTTTAAATAAAATGATGAGTCTCAATTCCCACACTATATTGGAAATTAAAGTCTTTTAAACGGTTTAACATAACCATAACCATCACATAACCTGGTACTTCATGTGGGATTAAATTAATTTAATTTTTTTATTATTTAAGATATCCAAAATTGCATCTTAAACTTCTCCCAATCGATATCGTAAGGGCCGCATTGCATGTAATCATCTTTACTTTCTCAATTGTTGTTATAAAGTGAAAATTTTACGAATTTTGAAAATATTGTGAAAAGATTAGTAAAAGATGCAAAGATATTACACATTAAAAAAAAACAATATTGAAAATTTAATGCCCGAATCTTGTGTTGGCGCCCCCTAAGGCGTGCGCTCGTATTTTTTGATTAATTTTTTGATTGATATATTTCAAGTGAATTAATTTGTAACGTCCTGTTCATATGTGTATCATTCAATCTGCCATACATTAAGTGTATTTCATATTATTTTAATTTCTGGCACATCTCAGCCATATAAATCCCAGTACTTTATAATCACATACATCCTAGAAAATTTCCTTAACAAACTACAGAAAGATTTATCAAAATAATCGTTTGGAAGGAGTATACAGTGAGTGCTTGTAATTTAATATGAACTTTATATAATAGCAATAAAACTCAAATTGTTTCTACGTTTTTGTTAGAAAACGTTTGTATGAGAAAAAGAAAAGAGCTGCTTTTAGGGTTTTCTCGGCAATTATTCGATTTTTTTTGCCGTAAGAACCATCCTTGGACTTCAACGAACATTTTAAAAAAAGAATTGGCCAAATTGGTCCAGGCGTTGTTGAGTTATGCGTTTACCAACACATTTTGCGATTCATTTTTATATATAAGATATTTATATTAATCTTTTTTAACTTCATAGCCTACTTTTACTAACCGAGATTTTTCACCCTGGCTCTCATAGAGCCATCTATCCAATTTTTATGTGATATGAGTATTATTTTAAGCTTTTTGTTCATCAGCCTTATTTCAAATTCTTGTAAATTGATTCTAGTTATAGTTCAGTTTTGTTAACAAAGTGCTTTATAAAGGTAACAAAACAGTATTGCTTTTACAATGCTAATGTATTTTTTTAGCCACATGGCTTTGCGTTGATGAAAAATGCTTTATATGAAGCATCAATCACAACATGCGATTACTTGTTTCGTGTGAAAACACAATTACATTCAATATATTTACATGCATGCAATCAATTTGCTTAAATAGGTTGTATTTATGAAACATTTAGGGCAAGCAATTTTTTTTTGCAATTGGTAACATGGCTTTTGTTCGAAAAATTTTTTTTGATATGGTTAATATACAATTTTTCCATTTTAAATTTAAAGCCTTATGCAAGGTTTTGTAATTTTTGAATATAATAGTTATTGTGAATTCTTGTGGTTCAACATTTTATATATAAAACATATTATTAAATATAAGTTTACAACAAAATTTTGAATTTACTTCTCTTCCAATTATGAAATAATTTCTGAATATCTGATTAAAGCTTCATTAATATAATACTAGATGCTTTTACAAATTAGATTGATTTTCTATTTATGTACCTACCCTGTGCAAAAAAAAAGAAATGTTGTCGGACAATAATTGCGTGCAATTTGCTACATTTAAAATGCAAAGCTGGTATATGTAGCGCATGAATATTTTTTTGCATTAAGAATTTAATCGAGATTTGAAGATAAAAATATGTTGACCCAGAATACTTTATTATTTGTTTTAAAACTTTTACTTTATTATTCTGGAAATTATTGGCTTAATATGAAAAATTAGTGCTGCATATATGTTGAACAGATATTCCCGAAAGCATAATTAAACACGTAGTAGTTTGAATTTATAAAATTAATTCACTGAACTATTGTAGTTTACTGAACATATATATATATATATATATATATACATATATATATATATATATAAATATATATATGTTCAAATTCATACTTCAATACTGCATATCCGTTAGAATTAAATTTCTAACATATTAGAAATTTGAACTATATCAATATAAAATATTTAATGTTGTTCTCTTGATATATATTCTATTTTAGGAAGAAGTTTAAATCGAGTCTGTCTAATGAAAATGGATAATTTATTACACGAGAGCAAAATTTGTATTAACAAACATTCATATACCTACATTCCTAATTAGGTTTATTCTCAATAGGTCCTAGTCTATATCATTAGGTTGTGAAAAAATAGTTTAGAATAGCACAACATTTTAAGCATCCTTAGAAAGATAGAATTAAACTTTGTTAAAGTAGTCGTTTTGAATAGAACGCGATATTTGCAAAAATTTTGAAACATACTGTTTGATTTCTACTTGAAAATTTAACAATAACTATCAATTTATCAATAAATCTTAATAATCTTTTTAATAAATATATTAAAATTGATATTAAATACCAAACAGTATCGTAATTTTTGCAGAACTGTTCTGTCATTGTCGCTCTACTATAAACTGTATTAGATTCAATGTCACTTTTATTATTTTTAAATAAAATATTAAAATGATTATGATACAATTAAAAATGTTATATCATATAATCGAAATAAATCTATCAAAAAATGATTAATTGTTTCATTTACGTTTTGAGTTTAAATTTTAAGAGATGCTTTAGCTAAATGTTGTGCTATTCATACGATTTAGTAAAGAGACATAAAATATAGATAATAAATTAAAATTGTACACATATAAATATTAGTGAATTAGCACAACGTTTTGTTAAGCTATTATTTTTTGAACCCCGGAAATAATATTTATATCATAATTCTGTTAAAATCAGCAGAACTTAATATAGAAATATTTTTATATATGTATATTCTGAAGAGTAATTAGTTTTCACTGTTGCTTTTTAGAAGGCATCTCAATGGTCCACGTTTATTCGATTTTTTTTGTTAAATTTTCAAAGCAGAAGTTTGTTTTTGCCAGAAAGTCGGACTTCCTAATTTTATGTAGTCTTGACGTTCAAGTCGTTTTTAATGATTTGAGACTTTTGGAAAATGTGTGTGTGTTCATGTATCTGAGTCAATTTTTAGCCTTTTGACCACATTTTCTGTCCGACGGTCGGATAAAATCTGAAATCGATTTTAAAATTTAAAAATGTGTAGTATTAGAATGTATCCTTGTATAAATTTGCGTTGTCTTGGGCCCAACTTTTAGTTGATCGACATTTATAATATTTTGAGTGGACAAAGAAATAGAGTAGGTTTTTACAGATTAATTTTATTAGAGACTAGCTGTACCCGTTCACGCTTTGCCGTGATTCAGTTTAAATTAAAAAGTTGAACAAAGATTTGTATTTGTTACATTTAGTTTAACGTTTCTACTATCTGTTCAACAATTTACCTATTAAACAATTTGTCTACGAATTTACCTATAAACTTGTTAATCAATCTGCCATTTTACCGACTTACCAATTTACCAGTCAACCTGTTTATTCGTCTTGATATTTGTCTATCTACCAGTTGTCCTGTCTACCATTTTACATACCCTCCAATTTACCTGACCACCAGCTATCGAACAAATTACCTTTTCACCAACTTACTTATCGATCTGTTTATCAATATACAGGCCTACAAATTTACCTGTCATCCCGTTCTACATGTCTACCAATTAACCTGTCAACCTGTTTATTTGTCTACATATTTGTCTATCTTCCAGATCTTCTCTCTACCATTTTACATATCCTTCAATTTACCTGTCCAGGTTTACCTTTATAAATTCTCTAATTCACCTTATTTATCTAAGCTCAAATTGATTCTACGTTTTAGTTAGAAAACGTTTCTATGTGAAAAAGAAAAGGGCTGTTTTAGGGTTTTCCCGGCAATTATTCGATTTTTTCTCACCGTAAGAACCATCCTTCGACTTCAACGAACATTTTAAACAAAGAATTGGCCAAATTGGTCCAGGCGTTGTTGAGTTATGCGCTTACCAACAAATTTTGCGATTCATTTTTATATATAAGATTTTATTTATTTCAAAAAAAAAAGTGTAAATAAATTACATTGGATAGTGGTTACTGCGGTGCAATGTGCTCCGCCTGAATCTCCCAGAAATGGAAAAGCTGTATACACTTCTTGCGCCTACAATTCCGTTGTGAGTTACGAATGCAAGTACGGATACACTCTTGTTGGTGAGGGATCCAGGCGATGTGGGGCCGACAAAAAGTGGTCTGGGATATTACCACAATGTAAAGGTAAAGGATAAATAAAATAGAAAATAACTTCTTTAGTTACACTACCATAGATATGAATAGACATATGAAAATATTATTTTTTCTATTCCAGAAATTAATTGCGGCCACCCAGGCAATTTGCACAACGGCTGGATCGAAAATATCGAAGCCGGTACTGGTTTGGGTGCGAGCGTTATATTTCGTTGTCACGAAAACATGTTACTGCAAGGACACACTTCATCTGTCTGTCAAATAGATGGGAAATGGCGATACCCTCTGCCACAATGCCTAGGTAGTTATAAATCATATACGTGACGGCTATATATACTATTCCCAAATTGTTTTAAATCAGAAAACAAAACTCCCCCTGAACGTTATTAAAGCGATATATTTTCATAGTAAAAAACCTCAAAATAATATACAAAAGTTTTCTATAAACAATTATTTTCACTAATATTTCTATTATCTATTATTTTTTCCTTAGCCCCGTGTGTAGTTCCTCAAGTTGACCAAGGGAGAGTAGTCTTATCCATAGCAGATAATGTTACAACTGCGGTTAGCACTGATTCAACAGTTAGTTCTTCAATTGTGGTGTCCCATGGGGAAGGCCTAACTGTAGAATGTGATGCTAATTACGAATTTCCACAAGCCGGGTTAGCTCCTGTAACTTGTAATAATGGAACCTGGACACTCATACCACGATGCGTTCCAGCCAGGTAAAAACTAAAAAAAGTTTTTAATGTAATTTAAATAAAAATTGACTAAAATTATTTTTTGTTTTTAGGTGTAAACATATGCCTAAAGCACCTAAGAATGGTATGGTGATAGCTCCAAAAATGGACCATGGCATGAAAGCGCGTTTTCAATGCAAAGATGGGTTCCAACTTAAAGGAAATACAGATCCACCATTTGAACTTGTTTGTTCTTTTGGAAATTGGACCGGTGAACCTCCTACGTGCCAAGAAGGTAATTTTTATTTGAAAGAAAATTATTTGTATGGGATTATAAATTTTATTTAATAAATTTCAGTATACTGCCCATTCCCTGGATATATAGAAAATGGTAAAGTTTTGCTGGTTGGTAACATGGGCTTGTATGACTACAGGCCTTACGTGCGAAAGGTAAAAACATTTAAAAATGATATTTCAAACACTATTTTAATGTATTATGATATTATAGGTCATCAATAATAAGCAAATCATGTACGATTGTGATAAAGGGTATGTACTAAGCGAAAGAGGGCCTCCAGGAGCTACATGCATCGGAGGAAATTGGAGTCCAAAAGAATTACCAAGGTAATTTTTAAATAATTTTGTATAAAAAAATTCATTCAACTTTTAAATTTGCGTTTTAGTTGCCTTCCTGGTCAGCATCCACGTTTGCGTTGGAGTAGAAAGAGACGATCCCTCGTCAGTAGACGACGGCGAGTTCTTTACATGAAATACTTAGCAATGAAAAACGGACTTTTCAAAAAACCACTTGCCCAAGAAAATGCAGAATCTAATGAAGTTACACAGAGAAAACGCAGAGACACTCATCGGCATTCAGATTCATCAAAATCATTGGTTTCTGATATTTTTTTAAGGCATAATAGAAATTTAAAACGACGATCAGGTCATATATCGAAAGGCGAAGGTCCCTCGCATCAAGATAGAGGAAACGGTCAACAAAGGCCAAAACCAGGGTCACATCAGTCAATAATGGATTTTGTGCCTTCGAGGATGGAAAGAGCGCTTCAACGCGAAAGTTATAGAGGTACTTCTCATAAAGAAGATGGCAAGAGGAGTAACAGGAGGCAAGGAGGCGGAGCAAACCAAACATCGCTAACTGTTCATCCTGATGGAAGGGAAGAATCTGTTACAAAAAAGCCGAAAAGTAAAGGACCTTGTGAGGTACGATATTTAAATAATTAATAATTAAAATTTACATAACCTCATAGTAAAATTTGCTTGCTTTGTAGGCATTATCGTCAGAACCGTATGTAAATATTGAAATAGTTCGAACTGGACGAGATCCCAGTATTCCATATAGCACGGGTACGGTGGTTCGTATGGCTTGTGGTAAAGGCTATGGCTTGAATATTAAACCAGCAGACGCCACTGCTAAGTGTGTCAGGGGCCGTTGGAAACCTGCCAAGCCCATGTGCTTAATTTGTAAGTAATATTTCTAATAAATAACCAGCAAGAAAAACAGCATTTCTTCAATCAGCAATTTGAATTATTTTTAGTACCCTGTATTGTACCGACTACGCCATATGGCATCTACTCGCTTTCAACTGCTGGTTCTTCTACTTTGGGAAACTGGACAGTTCTTCAACCCAATGAAGAAGTTGGTAATGGACAAGTTGTTGAATTTTCATGCGAAACAGGATTTAGCACACAAGTATGTATATTCTAAGCACGAAACATTATATGATCATAATATAATATAATCCTACAGGGTCCTAATAATATGAGATGTTGGCATGGTGATTGGACCGTGTCTAGTCTACCAGAATGTATACCTGGACCATGTCAATTACCAGTTGCACCAAATGCCCAGTATATGGGCGGATACAGAGCAGGATTGACAATAGCACATGGATCGTCTGTGACAGTACACTGTGAAGGTTAGATACAACTTATATATTTTTTGAAAAAAAAAGTAAATTAAAAGTAAAAACAAATATGAATCGTTTACTTTGCTTTTACTCTGTTTGCATCTTTTACATATAATATTGAACTTAATTATATTTGTGCAAAAAGTTCAGAGAAAAACAAAACAATTACAAATTGACATTTGAATTATTTTGCAAAATTAATCTAAAAGCCATGAATACGACAATTAATAATATTTTTGAACGAACACTATCTTCAACGGAAATTTCAGTGAATAATATATTTGAACGAACAACAAGCGCATTGGAACATATCGCAAATTATAAAAAAAATATAGAAGATACCGATGATGATGATGATGACAATGATATTTTTGAGCTTACGACTAGTTTAATTAATGTTACCACAATCCCAGAAACTTTCAGATTTTCCAGTGTGAAAGTTGTGGATGTAAACGAGATTTTCGATTATACTCCGATAATTATTATAAGTTGTTTCTTTTTATTTTTTGTTTTTTTGGTTCCTTGTGTTACAAGATGTGAAAACCAGGAGTAAGTTATATTTGAAAAAAATTAAGTACATATTTATTTTCATACTTGTACAAATATTACTTAAATTATATTTTTAGGGTGTACTATGTGATATTCTTAATGGCGCCATTCTGCTGCTGGTTATTGTAAGATTTACTATTTAATTTCTTTATGTTATAAACCAAATTCCAAATTCACTATTTTTGTGATTAATTTTTTATATTTCCATAAAAATTGTAATTGCACTTTTATTTCTTTAAAAATCTTCTATTCATCAAATAAAAATTTGAAGAAATCAATGGTACCCATAACTAAGTCGTACTCTTTTATTACGTAAAAGTATTGAATATTATTATTTTATATATTATATTACCTTCATATTTTATATAATTTATTACTGTTAAATTATTTAGTTGGTCGTTGTGTTTCCTAATGCAAGTTCATCCTCTGATTGGACCAAAACTTCGGGCAAAGACACTTCTTATGATGGCCAGAGAGTGGGGTCATGGACCTAATTTTTAACATTTTATTAAAATATATTACTTGAATGCGTATTTCATATGTATTGTAACCTTTTATGTACTTTGATTGTTTTGAATATAATAAATTGAATATTTTTCCTTGTCTAGATGTTTTTAAGTATGATAGAGTATTTGTAATTTTCTTTTTAATAAAAATAATAATTTTATAATTCTGAAATTTTTGACAACAATTGCGATTATTATGACTTTAAAATATTTAAAATATTGTATAATTATAATAAAATAATAGTGATGCATCTCAGTTATTTGAAATAATGGATTCTTAAATAACTAGAAAAGGATAAATATATAAAATTGGTATATTGAAGTTAATAATTATTATTAATTATATAATTATATTATTACAATTTTATTACTAATTTTTTTTTAGGAAATTCTTCAAATCCAATTACCTTGAGCTGTGACTACGCTGCTTTAACTCCAGCTACAATACAATGTCGTCTTCCAGAAATTGCCAAAGATATTCCAGATGAATTTTTAGGAGGTTCAGACATTGTAAAAGGCGGTGAAATGAACGTTTTTGGAGAAACTGATGGACGACCTTGTGGACCACCAGCTCGAGTGCATGGTTCCGTCATATATAGGTAGGAATAAACTTAACAACAAAAATAATTAGCCAAAATCGATGTTGAGAATATTGAGCATTAGTTGTTTTCTTCTGGTATTTTTTTTAAATTTTTATCAGGGATGGTGAACCCTTGGACGAAGAAAGTGCAGCCAATGCTTATCCAGCTGGTACTGAAATGACTTTTAATTGTATAGCCAGCGTTTTAGGAGAACGCACTACTTGGAGAATAGTTTGCGAAGATGGTAGTTGGGTTGGCAGATCTCTCAATTGCGGTAAAATAATTATAATTCATGTTGTTTAATATTAAAATTTCTACCCAATATAATTATTTATTAATAATTCAATTAAGATGGAGATGATAAAATAGACCACACGCCGGTCTTGAGTAATGGCTCTTGTGTTTTCCGCAATAATGAGCCACACGTAGTGTCTTTCTATAATGATCAAGAAATTCGCGATGAAGTTGTAGAATTTGCTCCGGGATCGGTTCTTGTATCAAGGTAATTTAGTAATGTTGTAAAGTAATTTATTGTAATTTTATTCCACTTACTATTAATTTTCTTGTAGATGCGTTGATATAGGTAAATACGCTATGATAGGCAGTAGCAGACGGAGATGCATTGGAGCTGGAGAATGGGATGGGCAGAAACCTGCTTGTTTTGGACTGAACCAGGAAAATGATTATGCCAGTAAATAATAATAATAATAGACAACCTATAAACTCTATATTATTTCTATCATCTAATATTATTTTTTATCGTAGTGGAGAAGCCACCAACTATCTTATTCCGGCACCAACTAGGACCAATTGCCCAGTCCAATGACGGTCGATTAATAGTCTATCCTGGGACAATTTTGCACATGGAGTGTTTATGGATGAGACGTTTTGGTAATCCCAAGTGGACCGTCAGTCATGAATACAGGTACATAGAAATATAGAATCATTATAATTGTTAGTCTAACTGTTTAATCTCTTGTTCAGGAAATATCCAGAAGGATGGTCGACGGATCCTGGTCGAGATGCTCAATTAGAATATCGTTTAAGTATCTATCATGCGGCTCGAGATGATTCCGGGTTATTTACTTGCGTTACGCCTGCGAGGCACACTCATTCCGTGGAAATAGTTGTTAAAGTGAGTTGTTATAGAAGAATTTATGAATCTTGTTTATTCTTATTTTTTGTCTGTTTCTTAAGGCTGTCCACTGTCCCGTGATGCCAACAAGAAGAGGAGTTGCCATCAACACGGCGGCTACGAGAATGGGAACCAAACTTCAATTATCTTGTACAAACGGAAACACGATGATCGGCGCTTCCGAATTGACTTGCCTGCCGAGCGGAAACTGGAGTGCGCCGTTTCCCGTCTGCGAAAGTGAGTACCTACTGCAGAAATTAATAAAAAAAAATCTCGGGAACATAAGGCGGTTTAATTAACTCATTATTCGCTTCATACATACACACACTATATATATATATATATATATATATATATATATATATTATATATATATCTTATATATAAAAATGGAGCTCTCGATCAAATGATCCGCTAAAACTCGAAAACGGCTAAACCGATTTGGCCAGTCTTAGTCTTGAAAATTTCTTGCTAATCAGTAGGTTGTCGGAAAGGTGAAATATTATTTCAAAATCGCGTAGAAACTTTACATTTTTAATTTGAAAATTTTTGTAGGGGCGTAATTTAAATAAAACAATTGACGGTGGCTAATACGTAAAAGGTCAAGCGTTTTTGATAGATGAATAAGCGTTAGCACAACTAGAAACTCAAAATATAAACTTTTTTATGTTAATATGAAAATGCACTTTTTGGCATATTTTTTCTCAAACACGGTGCTCTGAAAGATCTCATTTGTATAATAATATACTCATTGGTATTTATAAAACATTTTTTAGGTCATATTATTTTTTATTTATGTTATTTAAATTCAGAACCTAAATCTTGTATCGATAAAAAAAATATTTTGTCGAATAACATTTTTCCAGTTATAATATCCCAGAATTTATCGAAAAATAGATAGTAATATATGAAGGTCCGGGGTTAAAAAGATCCACCACCAATGTGTTAAAAATCAGTAAAGTTGAGCATTGTTTAACAACAATATTTGAAAGAAGACAAAAAAAGATGTATAACCAGCTATAATCTTGATTTGAAGACGGTAATCTTTGAAATGGGGGAGATAAACGGTAATCTTTAAAAATCCATAATAAAATTATTTTCTTCCGTTGGTAGATTTTTAGCATTAGTTAAAAGTGTAATTATTTTGTTAAATAACTTCAAAATTAAAATAAGACATTAAACCTATTTGCCATCTGGCCGTTCCAAGTTACCCTGTTTATAGGGTAAAAAGGTCTAGAAAAAAAATTTTTGAAAGACATCAAACAAGCACATCTCTACAATGATGAAGAAGCTGGAGTTTTACTGAACGTAGTCAGATAATTGTTTGTTTGAAATGTGCTATTTGTTGTGATATAATCGGTTTGATTATTATAATATAGTTAATATTTACTCAAAGTCAAATTGAACCTTTTGTGCCTCGCCTTGCTCTACATATATACTTTTTATTAAATTTACTTTAATTCATCGAATGTTATTTGAAACTTTTCAAAAAGTAGGTCAAAGAAGAAATACTTAATTCATTTTCTATCTCTCCTCGCAGAAATTTGAAAATTTTGTATGAGCTCAGTAATATTATTTACAGTTATACACAAAATTCAGAATCTAAAAAAAATCTGAAAAACTTGAAACGTAATCAATATGTCGAAAGACCAAGAAGGACTTGGATTGGATTATACCATGTTTTCTATAGAAAGTGTATAAAACTTCCAGCTTGATTGTATTGACAGAATATAGTCAAACTAATGGGGTTTATTGCTTTTATAACACCTCATTAAATATAGCATTCAAGCAACACATTCTTATACACTAAAAGTATTAATTTTTTTGATTCTCTAGAAATTGTTTAGAATCTAAGCGTTTGCCGGGTCAGCTAGCATATATATAAAATTCTTCTGATTTAAATTTAATTCAAATGAGCTATTTATTACAAACCTTGCAGAACCATTTAATAAATTATTAAGAAACTGCATTGCAGAAACAATAATATCGGATTGATATAACTTTTTATTACCCGAGTTCTTCGCGGCTGATTGATCCGTAATCATTTGTATTTGTAATCAACAGAAGTAATAACACATAATTGCATTAATTAAGATGTTTTGATTGAAGTAAGCTCCTCTATAAACATTACTATAAAATTTTATAGCATATTCGATTTGCAATTTCAGTTGTGTAATATAATTGTACACAAGAATAATTAATATTAGTGCAGGAATAACTCTTGAGTAGCAATAATGTATTAATAAATTTTAATTATTAGACATCAATTATATTTACAAATATCATTTTATGAATTATTTTTTTTACCTTCATTGTAACAAAATTGATGATGTATTATAAAAAATATGCAGTAAATAATTTTTTATTGTTTAATTTACGATGTGACTAATTAGGCATTCTAAAGCTTTTCCTGTGTATAATTCAATTATGCCGATTAGGAATTTTGACAATGTTGAAATCATTCTAGCAACTTGTTTATGAAATATTATGCATAAAATAAATAATTCTTTTGCCGGTTTTAAGAGTGGCTACGTATCCATATTGCAATGAAATATTTCATCATATGTGAATAAAAAATATTTATCAATTTATTGGTACAGGCACAGAATGTGGAGAAGTACCAATGATACCAACCAACGCGTCTTCTCCTCGAGTTTCTGTTTTATCCCGAGAAGTTGGCGGCAGTGCTTTGTTTTCATGTCCTGCAGGATACGGAATCCGCGGACCACAGGAAGCAGCCTGCTTACCAGGAGGCGAATGGTCTCAACCATTTCCAATATGTGTCGGTAAGTTGATAAAATATGAAAACAATTGGGAGAAAACAGTTTGGGGTGTATTGATTCTTTTCCTCAGAAGTTCAATGTGAAAATCCTGGTTCTCCTCTGCACGGTTATGCCCAAGGTACAGGTCCTTATAAAGCTGGAGACGTGGTTCAATTCAACTGCAATCCTGAATTCATGATGCAAGGACAACCTATAATAGCCTGTCAAGAAAGTGGAAGATGGTCAGGTCCGGTACCGCAATGCGTCCAGGCTTGTTCATATCCAGGAACTGCTATCAGTGGAAGGATGTCTTCAGTGAAATTTTATTACAGGATAGGTAAATACTTATTTGTTTTGCACCTATTTATATTTTTAGTAATATTTATTTCCTTAGGTGAAACTGTTACCTTTACCTGCGATCCTGGTTTGCAATTGAGAGGTGCCAGGATGTTGAGATGTTTGAGGAATGGTAAATGGTCGAATGCAATACCAACTTGTGCACCTCCTGATCAAAAGGAAAATTAAATGGTTTGGTCAATAAGTAATTAGCGTAAGTAGATAAAGAAATCAATATAATTAGTTTTGTACAGGTATTTATCATAATTCATTAGGCGATAATTGATAGTTCGGTTCTTCTATAAGTTACACAGCTTGATCAAAATTTTAGTAGACTCCACAAACAAATAGATGACCACATTTGTTTTTAATGTAGGTTTTTTTAAATAAGTTTCCTTGATCTTGCTGTGCTAATCAATATATATTTTGTCGTCGATTCTACTAAAAATCATCGCAAAATTATATCGTACAATTGATATTTTTCTATTTAGGGAACAGAAAATGACAGTAGATTTTTATCGAGACTAATATTTAGCTATATAAAGTTTTTTATTTGTTTAAAATAGGTATAAGACCTGAGTTTAAAATTTAGATTCTATTTAATAAAATCGAAGTTTTGCATAAGTAATTTATTAGAATTTTAAAATATAGATTTTAGATTATTTATCGAAATGAGCAATAATGGAGTATTAGTATAAGGTAACGCACAATAATCGAATTGTAGCACTTTACGAAAGACATGATATTATCTAAGATTTTTTATTAAATATTTATTCAAGGAAATAAATAGTTTAGTTAGATGCTAATTATCTTATGAAATACTAAATTTGGTTTTAGGATAATTTTGAGTATTATACTCGGTTTATGTAATGGAATTTTTTACATTCGTTTATTCATTTTTGATGCATGAAAATATAGTACAGGTAAATTTGAATATATGAATTGGATACTAATAAATCTTTATGTTAACGCCTACATTAACACTATTATTCGAACTGTTCTCTTAATTAAGATAAAATCTTAATTGCTTTTGAAGATATGTGAAAGAGAAGATACTAATAAGATGAATATATAAGATTTTTTCACATAATGAATCTATTATAACATAATCTCTAAACGCTACATGAATCTCACACTTCGCTTTCGCTTTTTTAAATAAAATTATTACCGACACTAAAATGATAAAGGTTGATTAATAAAAAAATCTATTTATTTAAAGTTCTACAAAATTTTCAATTCCTCGACATATTTTTGCATATGTACATAAAATGTAAATTGATCTTTGTTTCCAAACTTTTAAAAAATATACCTAGTCATGATTTAGTCAAATTTGAATGATAATTAGATGAATGAATCTATTTTTGGGAACTAGACAAAGATCAAAATATATTTAAGTGTAAAAATTCCAGTTTTACTAAATAAAATTCAATGTGCTCACTTGTACATATCATAGTGTAGCATCATATTTCTAATAAATCTAAAATGCTTTGCAAATTTTCACTTTCTCCTCTAAAATTAAATAGTGAGCTCATATCAAATATAATCCTTCTTGCACATATTCTAATATATGTCTAGATCTTTATAGATACTACCAGAAAATATTATCAAATTATGTATAATATTGAAAATATAATGTAAAAGTATTTTTAAACGTTTTGTTATATATTTTTTAATCATAAGAAAGTAGAAATATTAAGATACTATATTGCTCAATTAAAACTTCATTTATTAATTTGTTATAGATACATATTAATATATAATATTTTATTTATCGAACCAAAGATTAATTGAACAACTATAAAATAGATTGCTCAAACTTCTGAACTATTTTTCCATAAGTTGTTGTCTAATGATATTTCTCGCTTGTTAAAAAATAATTATAAGATATGATATAACTAAAATAAAGATATAAATTGTTTAAAACAATAATGCAAATATTATAAGAAAGTAATTGCTTATTTTTAAAGAAAATGTATATTACCGATAGAAGTATTTATCGATTCACAAAAAAGCTGTTATATTTTTATTAGATTGTGTAATTTACGATTTTCTCTGTATAGCAATAATGCAATCGAAATATATTTATCTTTTTCTTCCAACTATTTGTTATAAATAATCATTTTATCTATAAATCAATTTATATTTATCCAAGATAATCGACGAGTGGCAGCAAAAGTGTTGGATTTGTTTGTATATGATATGAGGATTTAGATCCAATCACATAACTATTTGAATTTTACATTTTTATTTGTTTTATCACTTTTACTATATTGTTATTGTTCTCTTATATAAAGGAGTTTAATGTTTTTGTTGGGATGATCGGAGCAATCATAGTTAGCAGTGAAGCACATAGTAACAAATTGTAAAAAAATGAAAATCAATTTCCAATACAATTCTTAATAATATAAAAAACTTTTGAAACTTGTAAATTTTAGCCTGCTTAATTTGGAACAAGACCATCTACAAGCTGCACTTGATATATAGGGTAATAAACTTTTTTAGTTTTTTTTTTGTACAGCAAAACTATGAGTTCCATGAGTTATTGTGTAATTCCTTAAATTAGTGATAAGTAATAGCAACCCAGTGGTTGTCCATTACATTAGAATTCAAGAGTTCTATGAGCTGTTGTGATGATAATTCTTAACTATGTGGCTTTGAAAACCGATTGTCTGTGTTAGATTTCCTCCAAGTACCCAGGACCACAGGATACTATATTTAACTCCTATGTTTGTGGTGTGCTTTATCAATTTTTGGACTAGTTTTTATTATGTTAATAAATATTTGTGCTTCAATGATTTATCATTTCTATGTGTTCTACAAACCGCAGTTGTTGGTGAGAAAAAGACGATGCAACTACTGACAACACGTAAGAAAATAAATTATAATATAAGATGGCACTGATTGCCTACGCTTGACTGATCTGCGCATATATTGCAATCGACGATGAAAAAATCTAGGAAAATTATAGACCATCATTTTATTCTTCATTGATTTTTATACTTATAATACCACTCATATTTATGCACTATATTGAAACCATGATCATTGGTGTTATAATGATGCTATAAAATAATACCAGATAATAATTTATTGATGTTGATAAAGATTTATGTCAGGATGCTGACTTGTTAGTTTTCTTTAAAATTATCTTCACTCTACTTCTACCTATATCTGGTCTTTTACCTTTACCTATACTCTACCTGTTCGGGCGTATTTTTGTTTTATTATATTGGCCATGAAAGTGACAACCTTCACGGCAAACACTCCGCTACCTCCTCCACCAAGGGTAGCAACCATTCCGTGTAAAGCTTAAGGCCCTGAAGGTTGTCATCTTCATGGCCAATATAATAAAACGAAAATACGTCTAAACACTACCTCTGCCTCTACCTGGCCTTTACCTTTACTCTACTTCTACCTCTACCTGGTCCTTTTCACCTTATATATGTATATATATATATATATATATACATATATATTTATATTTATAATTATATTTCGGATACAAGATTAAATTAGTAATTAGAGAAAATAAATGATCTTAATTGAATTAATTTCAGTAAAATACAACGTTAAGCCTAACATTAGTATTATGTAATGCAATTACTTGAAGAAAAAAAGTTATGATATTGAGATAGTTTATTTAAGGTTTGTAAATCTTGAGATTGATCACGTTTTGATGCAAAATTTAAATATATATATATATATAATATATATATATACGAGTATATATATATATATATATATAATATATATATATATATATACATTAGAGCGGGTCGATTTATATGGAAAAAAAAGTCGCTCAAGCACATATGATTTCCGGATACTAGGGATCAAAATAAGATACTTTGCTGAAGAAACTATACCTCTAAAATGAATCTTATGCCCCGTGCAAAGAACAAAAATAAGGGTTGAAATTTGAAAATTCTCATTTTGACCCATTTAGAGTGCCCAAATTGCGTCTAAATGTATGACCGACCCCCCACAAACTTTGGGAGACCGATTTACCATGCTCCGGTTCAACCCCAGGGACCTTCC